CAGGAGGGTCCTCACTGTGGCCCGGTCCTCATCGCCCGAGGAGGATGACCCTTCAAGGATCGCCCATGGTGAGGGAGGGAGGGAGGGGGAGGGAGGGAGATGGAAAGAGGGGAGGGAGGGAGGAAGGAGGGAGGGAGGGAGGACGCAGGAGGTCCTCCTGTGGCCCGGTCCTCATCGCCCGAGGAGGATGACCCTTCAAGGATCGCCCATGGTGAGGAGGGAGGGAGGGAGGGAGGGAGGAAGGAGGGAGGGAGGGAAGGAGGGAAGGAGGGAGGGAAGGAGGGAGGGAGGGAGGACGCAGGAGGTCCTCACTGTGGCCCGGTCCTCATCGCCCGAGGAGGATGACCCTTCAAGGATCGCCCATGGTGAGGGAGGGAGGGAGGGAAGGAGGGAGGGAGGGAGGGAGGGAAGGAGGGAGGGAGGGAGGACGCAGGAGGTCCTCACTGTGGCCCGGTCCTCATCGCCGAGGAGGATGACCCTTCAAGGATCGCCCATGGTGAGGGAGGGAGGAGAGGGAGGGAAGGAGGGAGGGAGGGAAGGAGAGAGGGAGGAGGGAGGGAGGAAGGAGGGAGGGAGGGAGGGAGGGAGGGAGGGAGGGGAGGGAGGGAGGGAGGGAGGGGAGGGAGAGGGAGAGTAGGAGGGGAGGAAAGGGGAGGAAGGAAAGAGGGAGTGAGAGGATAGGTAGGAGGGGAGAAAGGGAAAGGGAGAGAGAAGGAAGGAAGGATAGAGGGAGAAGGCAAGAGAGGAAGGAAGGAAAGAGGAGGAAGGAACGGAGGGAAGATGGGACGGAGAAGGAAAGGAGGGAGAGAGGGAGAGAGATTGAGGAAAAGAGGGACAGAGGATTAAGGAAGAGAGTAGAGAGGGAGAGTAAGAGAATGAGAGAGAGAAAAGGGAGCGAAAGGAAGAGAGGAGAGAGAGAGAGGGGGAGAAGGAGAGGGAGTAGAAAGAGAGGGAGATAGAGAGGAATGAAATAACAAATATTCTTTTAAAAATTCAGGAAGGCGAAGGAAATAGTGATAATCGTCATTGCTCTAGCCATCTATTTATCTGTCTATTCGGAGATCAATCAATCTTTACGAAAAGTCAGTAAACTTAAAATTGCAAGGTATAACATGTAAGATATTTATATGACATTTCGATTATGGTTATCTTCTTTAACTCTATTGTGTATTTATATGTTTGGAATTTCTGCAAGAAAGTACGTTTCACTTTAGCTAAAACGACAGAATTCTTTATTTAAGGTGAAATGTAACTTCTTGTATGCGTCAGAGGCAAAAGTTATTCCTCATACAAGTACTTTGTCTTTAAGAATATTCATATATATATATATTCATATTCTATTTCATTGTTCTTCAAATTTAATTAATACAGATATGCATTTTTGCTTTCTGCAAACTAAACTGACATATAAAACAAAAAAGTAAATACAAACATACAGAATGACTGAACGAATTCATCCATTTTTCAATTCACCAAATTGAACTTCCAGTAGAATAGGTTGTTAACCTTTGCATAAGAGATAAGTGGTTCTTCCGTTCTATACAATGCACCATTAACACTAGCCAATTGCTTGTTAGTGTTATGTAAAATGAGACATATAAATTGGCTGAAAGCATGCACTCTCCATGCAAAGGTGTTGATGAAAATTGTCCATTACCCTGGAGGTGAGTCACTCGTTATTAAGCAAAGTGGTCGTGTTGAATGTACACAACTAATTGCACGGAAACAAGGCAGCTAATTGAATTACTTGGGATGAAGCGAGTTAGATATCCTCCTCTTATTGTTTTAATAGAGATTATATTAAAGATGATTATACTGATGATGATTATACTAAGTTTGGTCACACTAGTCTTCTCTTGACCTGGGATCCCTAGACAGCCTCGCCGAAGTCTGGCCAGCTGCAGCCTTTGATTGGTCAGCTGATTCTAGACTAGTGTGACCCTAGTTTTAGCTACCAAGGATTTCAAGAACAGAAAGCATCTTTCTGGAATATTTTCTTAGCGCAATGCATTCTAATTTCCAGATGAAATATACGAAGGCTCAAAGAACCCTCTGCGACTTACCCAGAAGATCAACGCCCCCTTTTCGTGCGCGATGGACCTCCAGAATTTCCCCTTCGACACTCAGCATTGCAAGTTGTTGATCAGAATCACCTCCGCCCGCGAGGAATTCCTACGGTGGAGCGACCTCACAGTCCAGTATCTTGGGGAGGTACGAGTCCTTATGGAAGGTCCTTTTTCAGCTTCTAAGATCATTGCTTCTTCATTTCGTATTCCATGATAATGCAGGTTTGAAAGATCTATTGTTTGTACAGTCAGAAAACCATTACAATCAAAGTGAAAAAAAAAAAAAAAAATTCACCCAATCATACGTCAAACTTAACTAATACCTTTCAAAAAAATCCCTCAAACACGAACGCACCTTCGCAGAGACTGCTAACAGAATACGAGTGGGAGACATGACGATACAGCGGCGGGAGGAGGACGAGTACAGCGTGGCG